ATGTAAAATTTTGCTTCCACTTCACAATTGTATACCACTTTGTGTTGGTCTTTCACATTAAATTCCAGTGAAATATATTTATGTTTGTGGTTGGAATGTGACAAAATATGGAAAAGTTCAAGGGGTATGAATACTTTTGCAAACCACTGTATATAAAATATGACATAATCCTCAGTGGAAATAGTCCAGGAAACGCTGCGGGCTTTCCTGGGACATGTTGGCCTGAGCCGAGTTGACCCTCCATCACAGAGAGGAAAAAGGCAGTGCTGTCAATCAGACGATACGACCCGCCCTGCTCTGTTCTGATTGGGTAAAACTTTGACTGTGGTTCTCTTTATTGGGTGAAAGAACCGTCAGTTTAATCCCTAGACAGCTTTAACAAGTTTCTTTATCTCCCGTTCATTTTTACAATGACGAACACATGTGAAGGAAAACTTTAATCCAGGTTTTTGTTTCTTGGTTGTCCACCGGACAACTGGGAGGCGGGATCTGGTTGTCCGAAACAAAAATAGGTTGTCTCGGACAAACTAAACAATGATTGCATCAACCCCTGTTTTACGTTGATTTAAAAAAAAACTTAATTCCGAAGGTATGGCAGCTTTTATTTAGCCGTGGCGGTGCGCCACCATCATTTACATGTAGGGGAATCCCTGACACTTATATTATGCTTAAATATGGGGAGCAGAGTTAAGTATTTCATTCAGAAAGAAAGATTAACCCAAAGTAAGCAACTCATGTTCAAAAATAAGTCCAAAAAACCACAACCCACGACTCATGGAGTTTACAAGCGACTTTAGAAAAAAAAGAAGCCCTAAGTCACTTATAATAAGCAGACCTGGAAACACTGAAGACGACTTGTTTACACATGCTAACTTTGCTAATACCTCTGTTAAACATGGGAATAATAACTATAAACAAACCTAGTAACATGATGGTTTTATTCATTTATGATTATTTCAAAAAATAGCAGAAATTAAAATATTTCATTAGCATTTTATGTATTTATTTATTTTTGCATTTAAACTGATGTCTGGAAGTCATCTGGGGAACCTCACTTGATGTTTTGTGACCCACAAAGAGGGAACCACTACACTAGATGAAATATTAATATTCTGCACAGAAAATATTCTCATGTTGACTCTGAGGACTGTTCCATTGGTCAGCTGGGTTTTTAGTGCTTTAGATTTAGGGGACTTAAATATTAAAGTTAGTGCTTCAGGTTTAGTGCAACTAATTTTTAGATTAGTGCTGCCCACCATCAGCTCTGTCTTGTCCTGTAAATCACAAAGCTTTATGTCAGATGAGCAACATCAGCTTCATCTGCAGCTGTTTGAAGGAGCAGCTCTTTTACACACAAATGTTGTGTCCATTAAAATGTCTTTATTTATTTTCCTCTGASTTTACATGACTGCATGTCTCTGATTCTCCATGAAGCTGAAGACACACAAAGAGAGGAGGAAGCAGGGATCCATTCATTTCCTGAGGGATGATTTCTCCTGTTTCTCTCTAACATCAGCCTGAAGGACACTTCCGGTGCAACTTCCCTCAGTGCGGAGTTTACAGCACAGCTCAGCGGTTAGTTATTCAGCAGCTAAAGTTTTAGCACAGAGAGTTCTGCGTGTTTTTAAAGAACAAAAAGATACAAACCTAATATATTCAGCTGATCGATGGAAACAGCATGGAGGTCTTCATGTTGCTGCTCTTTAGCGCTGATCAAACCCTCCGACTTTTCTTCTTCGTCTCCATCCAGACGCTGTTGGAGCTGCTGTCTCTTCATGTCTGTTAGCTTCTGCTCATCAACATTTYCCGAGCAGCTACAGCTCAACACAACTCTGAATTATTGAGGCTGACCAGGAGTGGACAGGGCGTTAGCTCGGAGCTAGCTGAGCAGCCTGATGCAAGGACATCACTTCCGTTAGCGGTGGGTTTTCAAAATAAGAGCTCGAACTGAATCGTTCTTCAGTAAAATATTGTTTCTCCATMCCGATGACAAGTTTATATTTTATAGATGATAAAACTAAAGCTTTGCCATCTTAACTTTGTTGATCAGCCATAAAAATCACAACAGATTTTCTTTACTCCATCTGATAAAAACTGTTGTCAGCTTTTTAAACAGTGGCAGCTGGTGGATTTTTCTCAAGGGGGGCCACAACTCCAAAATAGACATATCTCAGAAAGCAATCAAACGTACTAAGTTGTATCACGCCAGTTTATATATTAAATAAATCAAAATAATAAAACATTAACATAGTGTTTTATTTTTAGTACATACATTTTGTTCTTCTGTTAAGCAAATTTCTTCATGACTCTGGTTAAAGTCAGGGACGGTTTAACAAGATTCTTTCCTATAGAGCATGGTCAGTGCAGTGAGATGTGATGTTGTACCTGAGGAAAGTCTGGACTGTCTTCAGTGTTGAGAAGCTCCTCTCAGATTCAGCTGTGGTCAGAGGAGATGTGATGAMYATCTTCAGCAGACTCACAGTCTCTGAAGGTGTCCTGCAGATTGTTCTCCATGAAGAGCAGCTGGGACAGAGCCACAGCACCACTGCAGCTCCAGAACTAGATCAGACTTCTTGGTCCTGTTCACCAATGGGTGAACCTCCATAGTCTCCAGTGCTGCTTTAGAGAACTGTCCTGCAGGAACCTGTCTGCAGAACTGTAGRTWTGATCAGATGCATGTGAATGTCTCAAGATGGTGTCACAAACCTAAAACAATAAATGCTCAAATTTAATTCAATACAGAGATGGCTACAAGTGAGCTTTCTAATCCCCAATTTAAACTACTTGCAGTCCGACCTCCACAGCAAATACGCACCCATTAAAATCAATGAGAGGACCCTCTGACCACCATCAGTAGACAAGGCGGGTAAGCCCAAGGACACACTGACTGAGTCGACTGGACGGGGATCAAACCGGCGACGTTCCGGTTCAAGGATGACTCCCCTAACCACTCTACCACAGCCACCCACAAACAAACCAGCATTTATTAGAGACTTTCTGACTTTTCCAAACACAAAATTATTTTTAATTGCACTGTAAGAGTATGCTACATAGAAATGAATATGCAACATTGAACATTTTACTTATTTAGCCCAAATTAGGAGTTTTACTGATTTGTCATACAGTAGAATAAAGTAGAAACTGAATGAATGCATTTTCAACAGTTGATGTACATGTTGTTCAGGACATCTTGTTAGAAAAGGTAACAAACCAACATAAAAAAGAAAAAATAAGTAGGTCCTCTGGACGAGTGCTTCTTTAATAAAACATTTTGTCTCTCCTCCAAGAGACTTCTTCAGTCTGAAGAGTTTCATGTGAACTCAGCCTTATAAGCACTGCCTCCACATGGTGGGTAAACAGGTTATTCACATACAAAAAGGACCATCAGAACCAGTCCAGAGGACAAACTTAACTTTTTTCTTTTTGATTTTTCTACCTGGATTACTGAGATGCATCAGGAAGATACAAACAAACATGTTGTTACTCTACTAGTTTCTACTATGATTTTGAATCTTAAGATATGGCAATGTGGTATGGCAATTACAGTTAGTGATTGGGWATTGGAGGTTTTAGACATACTCCTTATTTTTATTTTTGTCTTTCTTTTTTTTTTTACAGCTGGCCAGAGTCAGAAGAACAGCTGTCCCTCTAATCCCTCTAACATTCAGGGTGAGGTTGTCTTTGCTCCAGAGACTGTTGGTATGCCTATATTACATGATATTTTAGCTCATCTAAGCAGCTTCTATGTACTATACTTTATTAAAATGTAAAAAAAATCCATTTTTAAAGAGTGTTTTCTGAAAGAACTCCAGAGCTCCTGAATGATGCTGCAGGTGAACCATCACTARCAAAAGCTCCTCTGTCCTCCTCAAACTGGAGCACAAGAAAAAGTCTATCTTCAGAGAGCTGGGAAGCAGAAAGACCCCGTCTGGTGAACACCACGGCAGCTCAGCAAAGTGTGTCAACACACTTATGCCAACAATGTGCAAGTAATCCAGCTGCAATTCGCTGTCGTGATTGCCTGCCACGRCCCTTCTTATGTGACAAARGTGATGTGATGATGCACACCAGAGATGTCCTTCACAACAGAGAAACACTCACAGCCGGATTCTTCCAGCCATTGCCTCCAACTACCTATGTTCTAAACACAACTCTTTGCCATGAAGGTAAGTTCAAGGTATTAAGTAACCTTATTACTGTTTAAACACCACAGAGCCTTTCTTCTGAGTGTTAAGGTTCTACTTTGTTTTTAATGATCTTGTTKTACATGGTTCTACATAGCTTAGTTCCAGTGTTTTGATACAGTTTAGGTGAATTCATATTTTAAATGTGTTAACTTCTTTATAACGATTTGTACCTGTGGAGACCCGAGTTCGAATCTGTGGTTGTCCATCGGAGTGTTTGAGGATCAAACCAGGAAAGGCTGTTGTTGTGGTCACCKTCAATGGTATGAATATTTTTCTTGACTCAAAACCAAAATAAAATAAAAACCAATGATACCTAACTTTTAAATATTAACGTTTGTTACACAATACAGAGAATTGATTGTGACATAAAGTAGATCTGACACTAAAATAATCAACATTTACACTCAAGTTTGTTTTTTTGTTAGTTTAGGTCGTTATGATCTGAGCATGCCTGAGCTGGGATGTGAGGGATGTAAGGCTATTTGGACCCATGGAGTACATGGCCTAAATGTAAATGATTACTGGCCACCCTTCACTTTTCCACTCTCTATGCAACCGATGTGTTCTACACATTTGAAGAAATGAAGATGGTGGCACCAGGTCTCTCCTGTCAAGCCTTTCWGAAAGTGCTGGATAAACGAACTGTCCACTTTGGCCGTGTGAGTACTTGGGTGTACATATTCTAGGAGGCTGTCAAACTCCATCCTTGAGTGCTTATCTTCTTGAACACACCTGAATCTAATGGCTGAGGTACCACTTCAGCATGCACTCAGGTCATACGTAGTTCTGGTAATAGCCAAATTATTTGAACAAGATGTGTTGTGCCACAGACACACGTAGAACTTGAAGAGCACCTATGCTTAACGCCTGGATTTGTACACTTATGTCCTGTTTTTAAATTTATTAATTTATCTCTCATTTAAAAACAGACTGGGAAGATCTCGGCTGTCTTCCTGAAAAGTTTTTTCGAGTGGGAAGGCGTGAGATTTGAATTGGACAAAATGTTAAGGAAGGAACCCTTCAAGTGTCAAGCTTGTACCCCACTTATGCTTGCAGTTTCAGTGGATGGGAACCGCAAGCATTACCGTTTCAGGAATGCAGCGAGGTGTGGTAAAATATGTACAAACAATTCTTTGTGTAAGTGACTTTGGACCATAACACCTCATTAAATGTTTTTTTATTGCTTGTTTTTCAGATCAGAGGAACAGGCTGTATTTCAGGACCTCTTCATAGCCAGGGATGAAGATGTGGGAAAATTTGTGGACCATATACACAAATCAACCAAATATGTAAGACTGTAGATTTTAAATGCATAACTGCAGTCACCTTTAAGCATTTAAGGAAAATATGCCTGACTCTTGTCACTGGTAATTTTATGCATTCTAGGTTTCTGGAAGAGGTGTTTGTGGTGGGCAATGGTCAGCAGCCAGGGAGACCTCAAAGATCCAGCAGTAAGCTGGATGAGGAGGGATTGGAGCTAGCAGTGTGCAGGCATGGGGTGCTGCTCAGTGCCCTAAACATGTATAGGGGTGAAATATTTGCATATCCGTTGTTCCTACAACAAAGGCTGGCCAACAGTCAGATCACAGTTTTTTGCATGGATGTGACATGCAAGWACTGGCCATATCTTGAAAAAGTAACAAAAAGCTGTCCTGAGCTCCAACACCTGCTTCAAATGAAGCCATTTCTCTCAGTTTTCCATGCCAAAGCCCATGACTTCAAATGTGAGGTATGGAACACTGTCTAGGCATTGAATCACCTTGTTGGAACACTTGCATACGTAGCTGCATGAACATCTTTGACTCTGTTATTTTWATTTTATCTGTGTGGATGCTTTTATTTAGGTTAAGTGGAGTGGAGCCTATCAAGATGGTTCTGGTTTGACTCTAGGAGAGGAAGTGGAGCAGTGTAATGCATTTCTCTCCAGGATTGCTGTTAAAACAAAAGCATTRGTCTAAAGCTGGTAAGAAGGCCAAATAATGCTTTCCTTGAATTATAAGTATCTAACCATTATGTGGGAAAARGATAATACTGTGGGCTTCTTTCTGTTTTCAGGACGATCAAACATGCTGACTCTTATGGCCATGCACTGGAATCAGCAAAAAAATGGACAACTTGGCCACCTCACTGACCTGTCGTWATCAGAAGGTAATGAAACTAGGGGTGCTTTTCAATGCCTATACATACTGTGTTCTGACTTTTTTATTTGGAATTGGCAATYTAGGCAACAAAAGCTCTTCAAAAGCAAAATCAGAKTCTGGASTCRTTACAAAAGGAGTTTTCAGTGACTGACAGTGAACTGAGTGACTGGGTCAGTGATGTAAAGGAGTGGGCAGAAGGTGAGCTAACACAGTGGGAAAAAAATTGCAAAAATGATTTTATGTTAATTGCATTCCTCTTCTTTATCCTCAACAGCTACAACTGGCACAACTGATCCTGACTCTTTAGCAGGCCGAATACAGGTTCTGGCTGCAAGCATCAAGAGGCGATCCCAGCGTCTTTATAAGGACATGGARGGAAACAAAGCTCGTGCCAAGATTCACCGCAAGATCAGAGAGGAAAAAAGCATCTTAACATTGGCTTTGGAAGACTACAACAAGACGGTTCCAGACACACAAGCTCTGTCTTTGGAAGAGATTCTGTCCAATGACACAACTTTGCCATGGCAGCAATCACACAGTGGTATATACACATCCACTAATAATACACTAAAAAGTTCTTTATTGTCATCATATCTGACAGATAATGTAACTTCATACTACAGTTGTTGACCTACACTCACAATTTCCAAGTGTCTTACTGGATTCATTTATGTCTTTGTCATAAAAGCATTTCAGACTCTGTCAGTCTTGCCACTAAAAGAAGGGCATTCGATGGCATCATGATGGTAAGGAGACTGCAAGAGAAGAGGATCCTTGTAGGAGAGATGGACCACCATTGGAAAGCTCTTTCATCCTTTGAAGAAACTCTAAAAGAGCTCTCCTACCTGTTTTCAAGAGGCAAATTTAAAAATATGTTTTAAGTGATGCATAAACATACCAAGAGTTACAGTTAAGGTATCTGAATTTTATATTAATGCTTATTTTTACTTGTTTTCAACTTTAAAGGTTTGTCGTGTGCCCTAACTGTCGAAGGTGTAAGAGGTCTGCAGAGCATCACCCTGAGAGAGCTGCAAAATTTGAAACAAATGAAGCTGCAGGCAAGAGAGCATTATCCACAGGCTTTGTCAGGAGCAGAGAATGTTAACTTTGACAATACTTCTGATTGCGACTTTCGTAGCGACTCAGAATCTTCTGATGATACTCCATAATCATTTATGAATGTACTGCTGAGAAAGATCTACAGTCATGTAAGAGAGTTTTTGCCTCCTTTCTGATTGAATAATATCTAAATTGGCTTGATGTTAAGATACAAAAAAAAAAAGAAGGAACAAACAACCCCAATACACAGACAAATCAGGTTTAAATGATGGTGTTTATTATTACATAGAAAAAATATAAATCTCCATTGCCCTGTGTGAAAAAGTGACTGCCCCTCAAATCAATTAACTGGTTGGACCACTCTTAGCAGCTACAACAGCAATCAATTCATTTGTGATAACTCAAGTATACTACATACTTCATCTGAAGTCAAACTGTTGACTTGCAGTCATATAGGTGCATCAGTGACGGCTGGTGGATTTTTCTCCAGGTGGGGCTACAACTCCAAAATAAACATATCTCAAAGTGCAATCACACATGTACATGTTGTTTCACATAAGTGTATTTATTAAATAAACTGAAATAATTTAAAAGCATTAAAAAATGGTATTACAATGTCATGTAGTGTTTTATTTTTTGTACATAATTTTATGAATCTCAGGCAGGAATGAACCCATGATGCAGGCAGATAAAAGGTTCCAAAAAACAAAGTAAGAAGAAATAATAAATATACTGTATTACAAGCTGAAGTCATAATTTTTCAACAAGCTAAAGTCTAAATTACAGGCTGACTTCAGGTCTGGTTTAGATCAATGGGCCTCATGCAAGAACATGTTCGTATTCTTATCCTAAATTTCTCTTACTTTTGTTCGTACAAAGGGTTCGTACGAACATGTCACGTCAGATTCAACAAACTCCATCTTCCTGAAAAGAGTGTAAATGAGCTGCGTAAATTCCACCTGGGGTGGAATACACCATATAAGGCTATGTTTCCTGCCTCAGATATAAGGA